ACAGTCCATTTTTTTAACAGCTTCGTTGAGAAATAATTCACATACCATATACTTCCCTATTTATAGAGTACAATTCTATGTTTTTAGGTAATACATTTATTTTAATTTTAAATACATTTTATTGATTATGCTATTACAGTTGTCCCAGTTTTTCTCGGTTGTTTCCATTCACTTGTTACCCCCACTCCTCCAGCAATCACCCTCTTAGTTCATGTCCATGGATCATACATATGTTCCTTGGCTACTCTATTACCTATACTGTTCTTAACACCCCCCTGTCTATTTTGTACCTACCAGTTTGTACTTTGGTATCCCTGTGCCTTTTCTCCCATTCTCCTCCTTCTCCCTTCCAACGGACAACCCTCCAAATGGTCTCCATATCTATTACTCTGTTCTCAGTGCTTGCTTAGTTTGTCATTTAGATTCAATTATTTTTTTTAAAGATGGAAGCTCTGGCTGGTATAGCTCAGTGGATTGAGCACAGGCCTGCGAACCAAAAGATTGCGGTTCGGTTCCCCGCCAGGGCACATGCCTGGGTTGCAGGCCAGTTCCCAGCAGGGGCCAGTTCCCAGCAGGGGATGCACCAGAAGCAACCATACATTGATATTTCTCTCATTCTCTTCTAAAGATAAATAAATAAAATTAAAAAAAAAGAAAATATCTAAATGTTTCAAAATTTTTTTTAAAAGATCGTATTTATTTATTTTTACAGAGACAAAAAGGGAGGTAGAGAAACATCAATGTGTGGTAGTGTCTCGAACGCCCCCTATTGGGGACCTAGCTCACAACCCAGGCATGTGACTTGACTGGGAATCAAATTGGCTACCCTTTGGTTCACAGGCTGGCACTCAGTCTACTGATTCATACCAGCTAGGCAAGATTCAGTTATTGATAGGTGTGAATTGGTTGCCATTTTAATGTTCATAGTTTAGATCTTCTTCTTCTTTTATAATTCCCTTTCGCATTTCATATAATGATAGCTTGGTGATGATGAACTCCTTTAGCTTTACCTTGTCTTGGAAACACTTTATCCGCCCTTCCATTCTAAACGATAGCTTTGCTGGATAGAGTAATCTTGGGTACAGGTCCTTGCTTTTCATCACTTTGAATGCTTGTTACCAGTCCTTTCTAGCCTGCAAAGTTTCTTTTGATAAATCAGCTGACAGTCTTATGGGAACTCTTTTGTAGGTAACTGCTTTTTGCTTGCTGCTTTTAAGATTCTCTCTTTATCTTTAACCTTTGGTATTTTAATTATGATGTATCTTGGTGTGGTCCTCTTTGGGTCCATCTTGTTTGGGACTCTCTGTGCTTCCTGGACTTGCATGTCTACTTCCTTCACCAAATTAGGAAAAAAACTTTTTGAGATGTGTTTGTAATTATTTCTGTGTTTGCATGAGGAGGTGAAGTGTGTTTACCTACACCTTCATCTTGACTGGAAGTCCCTACAACTTAAAAATTAATAATGTATTAGGGACTTCTAGTTGAGATGGAGGTATAGATAAACTATGTAGTTGTGCCTTGTCTCCATGTACAAGTACAGAAAAAAAATAAAACTAGAAAATGAAACAAATATCATCCTGAATTGTCAGAAAATCAAGCTGTGTGGAAGTCCGACAACCAAGGATCTAAAGAAGCCACATTCATTCAGATGGGTAGGAGGGGCAAAGATGTGGGCAGGAGCAGAGAAGCATGGAGGGGTGGAGAGATGTGGAGATGCAGAGTGGTGCAGAGAGGCACAGGGATGGGAACGTGCATTCCCACATCTACTTGTGATGGATAAAAAATGAGAAGGATACCTCAGGAGTGAGGGATCTAAGCCCTACCCCACACCACCATGTCCAGGATTCCTGTGTCAGGAAAATAAGTCCCCATAACTTCTAGCTGTGAAAACCAGTTGAGTTTGGGGTAGTGGAAGAAACTGTGGGTTACCCAGTGATTCTTCTTAAAGAGGCTAAAATGAACTTAGGACTCACACAGACACACCTCCTCTGAGATTCAGCACCAGGCAAATCCCTGGAAGGGCACCAGTGGCATATGGAGAGAAAACAAAGTGCAAGTGCCAGGAAACAGCTTCCTCCCCAGAAAAACTGCAGAGGCCAGGCAGTGGCATTGTCTCTTCTGTGACCCCCCCCAACACTCACACACACAGCAACAGAGCAGTGACATAGATTGCTCCACTCCAGCGATTTCCTAAAGCTCTGTTCTGTACAACTTAACAAGTATGCTTTTCTACAATAGGTTACACTACTAAGACAAGGATTCAAAGCAGCTCCACCTAATACACAGAAACAAACACAGGGAGGCTGCCAAAATGAGGAGACAAAGAAATATGCCCCAAATGAAAGAACAAAACTCCAGAAAAATAACTAAATAAAATTGAATTAAGCAATCTATCAGATGCACAATTTAAGACACTGGTTATCATGATTCCTCAGGAACTTATTGGGTATTTCAATGGCATACAAAAGACTTGAGCAGAAATGAAGGCTGTATTAAGTGAAATAAAGAAAAATCTACAGGGAACCAATAGTAGAGGGGATGAAGCTTAAAATCAGATAAACGATTTGGAACATCCAAATGCTCTGGATGGAAAAAGCATTCAATCAAAACAGCAGGAAGGAAAAAGAATTCAGAAAAATTATGATATGCTTAGGAACCTCTGTGGCAACTTCAAATGTACCAACATCAGGATCATAGGCATGCAAGAAGGAAAAGAGGAAGAGCAAGAAATTAAAAATTTATTTGAAAAAAATAATGAAAAAAAACATCACTAACCTGGTGAAAGAAATAGACATGCAAGTCCGGGAAGCACAGAGTGTCCCAAACAAGATGGACCCAAAGAGGACCACACCAAGATACATCATAATTAAAATACCAAAGGTTAAAGATAAAGAGAGAATCTTAAAAGCAGCAAGCAAAAAGCAGTTACCTACAAAAGAGTTCCCATAAGACTGTCAGCTGATTTATCAAAAGAAACTTTGCAGGGGCGGGGGAGGCTGGGATGGGAAAAATAGACAAAAAACTGTATTTGAAAAATAACTAAATGAAATTTAAAAAAAAAGAACCCTGGGGAAAAAAATGAAAAAGAAACTTTGCAGGCTAGAAGGGACTGGCAACAAGCATCCAAAGTGATGAAAAGCAAGGACCTACACCCAAGATTACTCTATCCAGCAAAGCTATCGATTAGAATGGAAGGGCAGATAAAGTGCTTGCCAGAAAAGGTAAAACTAAAGGAGTTCATCATCACCAAGCTATCATATGAAATGCGAAAGGGAATTATAAAAGAAGAAGAAGATCTAAACTATGAACATTAAAATGGCAACCAATTCACAACTACCAACTACTGAATTTAAAAAAACAAACTTGGCAAACAACTAGAAGAGGAACAGAATCACAGAAATGGAGATCACATGGAGGGTTATCAGCAGGGGGCAGGAAAGGGGGGAAAAGGTACAGTGAATAAGAAGCATAAATGGTAGGTACAGAATAGACAGGGGGGTGTTAAGAACAGTATGGGAAATAGAGAGGCCAAAGAACTTATATGCACCACCCATGGACATGAACTAAGGAAGGGATTTCTGGTGGGTAGGGGAGTACTATGAGGAAGGGGGCAAAGGGGAAAAATTGGGACAACTATAATAGTATAATCAATAAAAAAATTTTAAAGAAAAAAGGAAATAAGAACTGATACATGCAGCAACATGGATGAGTTACAAAAACATGCAGAGTGAGAAAAGTTAGACAGAAAACAATATGTACTATATGATTTTATTTATATGAAACTGTAGAACAGACAAACTCAATGGTGGAAAATGATCAAAACGCCAGTAGCATCTATGGGTATACTATTCATTGAATTATGTCCCCCCAAAAGACATGTTAAAGTATCTTTGAAAGTGGTCTTATTTGGACACAGGGTCTTTGCAGATATAATCAAGTTTAGATAATGTCATTAATGTGGCCCTAATGCAATATTAGTGGTATCTTTGTAAGAAAAGAGACAGAGACAGACACAAAGGAGAACAATAAGTGGTGACATAGATAGAGATTGGAGCAATGTATCTATAAGCCAAGGGATGCCATGGATTGGCAGCAACATCAGAAGCTAAAAGAAAGAGATGAAACAGATTTTTTTCCTAGAGCCTTCAGAGACAGCATGGCCCCACTGACAACTTGATTTTGGACTTCTAGCTTCCAGAACTGTGAGATGGTAAATTTCTGTTTTTTTTTTAAGTCACTAAGCCTATAGTAATTTGTTACAGTAGCCCAGGAAAAAAATATGGGGTGGGTAGAGCAGGGTGGGTGGCTAGAAAGGAGCATTAGGGAACTTTGTGGAGTGAAGGAAATGTTGAATATTTTAATAGGAACCTGGGTTATATGAATGTATGGATTTGTCACCACCTGTCACCACTTGAGATTTGTGCAGGTATGACAATTTTACATCAAAAGAAAAAGTACCACAAGTAAATATTTTACTCTAGTTAATGATATGCATGTTGAAGCATTGAAGGATGGTGTACTGATGTCTGCAAGTTATTTTGATGGATGGAGGGATGGACAGATATCTGATAAAGCAAATACAACAATAAGGTTAACCACTGTAGAATATAGGTGGTGGGTATTTGGTGTGTGCCCTACACTTTTTTCAATTTGTTTGCATGCTTGAAAGTTTTCACAATAAAATGCTGGAGAAAAAACAAACTCTGCTTACTGTGTGTAAACATCTTCAAAACCAGTTCCTTAGCCTACCACACCTCTGCTCCTTTCAACTTGACTGGAAATCCAGGAGCTGCCATAGCCTCAAAACATTTTACAATTCAGAAAATTAAGTCATAAGATAGTTCAATGACTTGCGCAATGTCACACATCGAGGCCTTACAGATGTCGCTGTCCTGGAACTTCTCACACCCAACCATGTTAAGCCCCACCATGTTCTTTGATATCACTGCCAAACAAGTTGCAAAGACAGCAGAAAGCTTTCATGCTCTGAGCACTGGGGAGAAAGGATTTGGTTATAAAGGCTCCTGCTTTCACAGAATTATTCCGGGATTGATGTGCCAAGGGGGTGACTGCCCATGCCACAATGGCACAGGCAGCAAGTCCATCTACTGGGAGAATTTTTTTTATATGCCTCTTTTTTCAAATTTAAATTATTTTATTGTTGTTCAATTGTAGTTGTCTGTATTTTCACTCCAGTTCCATCCCCTCCAAACTCATCTCCCTCCCTTATGGGGAGAAATTTGATGATGAGAATTTCGTCCTGAAGCATGCAGGCCCTGGCATCTTGTCCATGGCAAATGCTGGACCCAACACAAATGGTTCCCAGTTTATCATCTGCACTGCCAACACCAAGTGGCTGGATGGCAAGCATGTGGTCTCCAGCCAGGTGAAAGACGATGATGGCATGCATGTTTTGACAGCCATGGAGCACTATGGGTCCAGGAATGGCAAGACCAGCAAAAAAGATCGTCACTGCTGACTGTGGACAACTCTAATAAATTTGACTTGTGTTTTATCTTAACCACGAGACCATTCATACTGTAGCTCAGGAGAGCTCCCCTTCACCCTCATCTGCTTGGAATGTTCTATAATCTTCCTGCCCTCATCACAGTTCATTGGGTTCCATATTTTCCTTGCACTTTCCAAGTCTAACTGGATTGCAGTTAAATTTATTATTATGAAATAAAAACTTAACAAAAAACAAAGTCACACATTGAGTAATAGATTTGAGGCAAAGTTATTTTTATTACCCAACTTTGCAAGGCTGGGATCATCCTGTCTTAGTCATCATTATATACCCAGAACCTAGGCCAGTGCCTGCATGTTGAAAGTTCAACATTAATGAAAGGCTGCAGAGCTGTGTTCCTGACCACTCTGCACATACCTTGTGCTAAGGTTCAGGCTTTCCTTGGGCCCCAGTTTTGGTCACTGGATATATACCTCCTCCCTGATCCTAAGCCCTCACTCCGGTATCCTACCTAGTTCCCTAGTATCACAATGCAAGACTTACTGGCTCCCCTTCTAGGGACCACAATCTTATCCACCTCTAGACTTTTCGTGCCTGTGAACAGTTTCATACTATCAGCCTGCTTTGACTTCTCACACTATCTAACCAGATTCTTCACTGCAATAATAGCCCACCTGTCTAGTGGTGCTTCCCAGTTCTCATAGCACAGATATTGACCACCCCTACCCCCAATGCTGGTTGCCACTGTTGCCTATTGTGGTTACACTTCTACTGGTCTGGCCTTTGCACCAGATCTGTGTAGTAAAGAAAAACAGACACCTTTACATCAAACACTTCCAACTGTTATCTGCTTCCTGGTTGTCTCTGGCCCTATCTGATCCCAGTGTGATTCCCTTGTGGTGCTCCTCACAGCCTAAGTGTGACCCACAGCCTGTGGTTCTAGAAACTTAGACAGCCTCCCAAGCCTGAAGACAGGGGAAGGAAAGCAGAGAAGAAACAAAGGAAAGGAACACACCCATTTTTCCCCTTTCTCTTCGAAATGTAGGGCAGCATGTGAGTACTGCAGGGTGTGGGTAGAACGTACATTTATTTTAAAGGGAACAAATCTTAAAATAACTAACTTAGCATTTGAGGGACAGGGAAGAAGCAAGGAAAGTTTTAAAAGGGACATAAAATGGGGTGAGGTCAACACATGTTTTCAGTACAAAGCAAGTAAAGCTTGTGAAGGAGAACCTCATGTAACACATTCAGAGTAAGCTATACTTCTATCCTTCTAAGCTGTAGTGTGACTCAGTGGATACCTTATACGGCCACTGTCTTTGAAAATTTCTCTTTTGCCCCCAGGCTTCCTAAAGTGAGTGACTACATTCATAGATGTGTTATAAACTACCGTATTTTTGCCATGTATAAAGCACACTTTTTGCCCAAATTTTTGAGGGAAAATTAAGGATGTTCATTATACATGGGTAGTACTAATTCTGGATCTATATAAATGTTTTTAAATCTTTTATTAATGCTTATGTATTAGAGGTATAACTCTAGAAAGCAATAACTATATCCATATGCAAAAATAATACCCTGAAATATGATAATCAATTTTGTTTCTAAATATAAATAAATAAATAAAGGAGTTAAAATGAAAGATTTTTTTCCTGACAGTTTGGGCCAAAAATGTGAGTGCACATAATACACAGCAGAATATGGTATATGTAAACTATAGACACATAGTTTGCTGTGGCCTGTGCGTAGCCAGCCTGACTGAGGTGGAAAGAAGGGCTCAGAAAGCAACCCTTCCAGCCAGAATTGACTCACCAATCAAAAGTAATTTCACAAAAGAATTCTTTTCCCTTCAATTCACTTCAGATGAAAATAACCTGTGACTAACACAGGATTGGGCATAATTAGTTCCTCTATCTCAGACACGTATAAAGCAGAATAAACAATGTCTCCCTCACTCTACACCCTCATCTTTGTCAAGGTTCTAACCTCACGGCACTGGAGGAAAAACACGGGAACTGAGTAAGGGAGAGAGCACACCATACTACAGACAGAGAGCAGATGTAAAGAGACTAACCTAGTATTGCCTGCTTGGCCTAATAACATGGAGTTTTCTCTTTTTAATTGTATTTTTTAAAATTATTATTGTTATCCTATTACTTTTGTCCCAATGTTTCCCTGGAGTTACTTTTTTAGTGGTTGCTCTGGTAGTTGTAATTAACATCTTAATTTATAACAATCTAGTTTTTGTAATATTGACTTAATTTTAAGAGCATACAAAAACTTAGCTCTCATACAACTGCATTCCCCCCTTCCTTTTTTGCTTTGCATCTTTATACATTGTACGTTCATGGTCACAGATTTATGATTAGTGCTTTATGTGATTGTCTTCTAAATCAGCTGGGAGAAAAAAAAACAACTTATAAAGAAAAAAATATATATATATACTATATTTCATGTTTATCTATGTAGTGACTCCCCTGGTGCTCTTTATTTTTTAAGCTATTCATGCTTTGGTGTTTTGCTATGGCACCCCTAACAGACTAATCCAGGTGGTATTCTGGATGGAATCTTGAAAGAGAAACAGGATATTGGGGGGGGGGGAATCTATGAAATTCAAATAAAGTGTGCAGTTTAGTTAATAGTAATGTACTGATTTTGGTTTATTAGTTATGACAAATGGACCAAAATATGTAACATGTTTAAAAGAGTGGAAATTGGGTTCCACACAGGAGGTTTCAGTACTATTTTTACAACTTTTCCGTATATGTGAACTATTTAAAAATTAAGATTTTAACAAACCAGAGACAGGAGAGGTAGCCACAGCCCATAGACACAGGGCAACAGAGGCATGTAAAAAGGTTGTAGACTTCACAGTGTAGTGACATTTTCTCCACCACTACTTCCTCTGGGTAGACATATACCAGAGCTCCCCCGAATTCTCCTTTGGGTTACCTTCCAAGGTACAAAACAAAGTATGGATCACTCCTGATCCAGCTCCCTTGCAGTCATTGTGTTCTTGTTTCTATCAAAAACAGATCATGCTGACCTGACTGGTGTAGCTCGGTGGATGGAGTACCAGCCTGTGAACCAAGGGGTCATTGGTTGGATTCCCCGTCAGGGCACATGCCTAAGTTGTGGGCTGGGTCCCCAGTAGGGGGCACAGGAGAGGCAACCACATATGGATGTCTCTCTCCCTCTCTTTCTCCCTCCCTTCCACTCTCTCTAAAAATAAATTAATTAAATCTTTTAAAAAAATTGTGCTGTAGGTAAATGGAAAATCCAAGGGTATTTCCAGTCCCCAATCTCTGTAAAAGTACCAATGCAGCTACTCTTTCTCAGTCTCTCAAAAGGAGAGGAAACAAGGCTTCTAAAACTCACAAGCCCCAGCCAACAGCAGCCTATGAAGGAGATGCTGGTGTTAACAGGAAACTCTATAGAACAGCTTCTCTACTGTTTCAAATCAACATAGGTAGCATTACTCTTTGTGTACCTATCTGTAGAAATCTCCCTCTGTGAACCTTTCATTCTATCAATTAATGCAAGATTCAGTCATCCTCAATTCCCCTTTCTATAAATTTGCTTTGCATATAACAAGAGAAAAAAAAAAGAAGGGAAGCCATCAGAACTCCAGGCCTCTAGTTCTGTAATGGAGCAATAGGGTGGGATCCACAAGGTAAGAGGCCCATGAAGAAGCAGCTAGTGGGAATAAGGATGCTCACCTTTCACCCCATCTTCCACGTCATGGACTAACACCAAAGGCCTCCAACTCTTTCTCGCTTTAGACTAACTTTCATACTAACAAGCCAATCTGGAACCTTTGTTGGTCTAGTCTGTTTGTGAACAACCACACACATTCTTCCTGAACTGCAGGATTGGGAGAAGACATTAGGCACCAGGATTCCCTAACCTCTATAGAGGCATCAGCACAGAAGTACTGGCAAAATGAGAAAGTAAATCTCCATGAGCCTGAAGCACAAAGCAGCACTGACCTGTGAAGGAGAAGCTACTGTAAACTGGTCAGCAAAGTTACTTGCTCCTTTATTCCTGCTGCTTTTACTGTGCAGAAAGCTGTTAACCTGCATCTCAGTTAGGTGCTACCAGACAACCTCCCTCTGGTCCCCTTCTATTCCTCATGGCAAGAAAAGGTCATTCTTGACCTGTTCCCCATATAGTCTTTCCTTCCATGTACATTAAGCTGGAAAAGGGAAGACATCAAGGAACTGCAATCCTTGAGCTTTATAAAGTTCTACTACCCCAATAGTATAGAACAAATATAATTGTAGGCATGGCGGGGTAGAAGCAAGTGAAACTTGTCTTTACGGGTCATTTTCTAAACAGGAAAGAATGGACTAGAGGGAGTAAGATTCAAATTTGTATCAAGTTCACGCAAACATCCTGAACACAAAACTTTCTCCCTAGCCTCATACTCCTTCAAGAAGCAGCCTGGCCAGTGCTGTTGAGGGTCTGTCAAGCATAGTTGAGTCTTAAACAGGAAGGAAGAATGAAAACTTTGGTTCATTTAACAAACTGCCTGGGAATGCCATCTCCTGGGTGAAGTCAGCTTGGGAGAAGTAAAAGCCAGTTGCAAGGGGAATTCCAGCTGAGTCCTACTCTTTCCTAACTGCCCCTTACTTGTGCAGAGGCACCGTGCTTTCTTCCGGGGATGGAAAGGGCCAGCTCCCTCACTTGACACATGATAGGTAACGTAGAAAGTTATTTACATCATCATGCTGCTGCGGGAAAAGAGTGCATAGTGTGGAAAACATGGGAATAGCATCTCAGAAGAAATATGAAAAACAATGTGCACTGAAGCATAATTACCAGTTCACAATGCCATAGTAGTTTCTACATGCTATATTTAGTAGAAGCCCACAATCCCCTCTTTGCGATTATTGGTATGCATCATCCGGACCTTCAAACTATCTGTGTTATCCACAATTATCATCTTAGCTCATCTACATGGTCAGTTTCCCAGAAGGACAAAAAACCTCTCTAGAGACTTAGTTTATGAA